CAACGCCTCGGTTGATTAAACAGCAGACAGAAATTAATACTTATTAATTTTCTTTTTACTATTCAAAGTTAATGTTTTACATATTCTAAATATATTTCTTCTTATAATATTCACAAGGGATTTTGTAAAATCAACAAACTATTATTTTTGAATAAATTTATAAATAGTAGATTCTCAGAACCGGAATATGTTTATATGAATAAAGCAAATTAAGTCAGGGATTTTATATCAGTAGTTAGTAACTATTTACAAATGTTCTAATAATCACAGTACTATATTGACTGAACTAATCCATTTACTCAATATGATATGCATAATACAAAACCAGTTGTTGATTAGGTTAATGACAATTTTCTATTCTGTATTATAAAAAATTTCAAAAGTATATGAATATCAAATTTAAACGTTGTTTTAATTATTCCGTTTTTCATTTTTTTTTTATCTTTAAATTAACTTCAAATTCAGTAAAGCCAATTTAAATTACGTCTTAAATAGGATTAAGATACAAATCATAATTAAGGCAATCATACTAGTATTTTTTGTAATGTACAACATTTTTCTAATAAGTGATGAATTGAAAATTTCATTAAGTTAGTTTCATTTTCATTTCTGTTATACCCAGTCGACTCATTTAATTCTAGAAATATAATTAAGTAGAAAATTTTACACAAACAATTTTATTCAAGAAGAAAAGTTTTGATTCAATAAAACCGTTGTAGTATTGTTTTCTTTTAACTAGTAGTTGTTATATTGCCATTTAAATAAAAAAATGTATATCTAAATAACCAAATTATCCTAATCTCGATTGTTATGACATGAATGGTGTTAATTTGAACAGTAAAAATCTATTTGTTTTTCGTTTACATGAAAGAAAACACAAGTAATTTTCGCCTTTATCAAACTGAATATCTACTTCAGCATAAAACCATGCAATGGGCCAACTAAGCTTGTTTCAAGTTATTTAACTGATTATCTTTACATGGTATGCAGTTAGCTGGAGCTTGATGCCTCTCCTATCATTTTAAACATAATCAATAAAAGTTAATCTTGCTGTTTTAATCCTTTTATATCTTTATCCAGTCTGATGAAATTTCGCTTTCAATCAAATATGTTTAGCTATACTACTAATTCAAGAGGACTTGTGAAAAATTTATAGAATTAGACTGATATTTTTATTTAGAACTGAAGGTAGTTTTTTCATGTTTGTTTATCATTTGAAATCCGTTTCCCATGAAGACTGTCTTTTATCATTTTGTTTCCGTGACAAGAATAAATCCTTTCCAAACGCTAAATGATTCGATTTAAAGTTTCATAATAAGTGGGAAAATAACAGCCTTTATTACCATGATTCATTTAATCATACAGTTAAATAATGTCAGTTGCTTCAAATACCTCTAAGTATATTGTGTTTAAATGAAACTTGATAATGAGCAGTAAGGATGTTTATAAGATTAAAAGTGCTAGATCTAAAGCTAACGTTCGATTTCTGAAACAGTGCCATGTAAATAGGAAAAAAACTACTTTTGAATATTTAAGTTGAGGTTAAAATGAATTCTATACAGTATAGGAATTTGTCGTTGTCTTTTGACTACGCATAATGTCGAGTATACCGGATAGTTTGTATAAGTAATGGATCCACTTATGAGATGTTTAGAGAGTCCATTGCTAAATGCACTAATAGGTGTTTGAAAACTCATCTTGATGTAACTGTCTGTTTTGAAACTACATGGTGCTCTAAAAAATGATGAAAACGTTTTTACAATCTTCTATAACTCAAAGTTTTGTCGATTTTATTAAACTACCCAGCCCTTCTGTTCTACATGAAACCGCTTAAACGGTACCAGGAAATAGTCGGAGAAATATTAGCTCTTCGTAAAGATTAATCTAAAAGCTTAATTCAGAAATATAACCTGGACGTGTTTGACTTGAGCTACTCGTCAACGGTTTCCACTTTTAGGTAATTCGAAATACTTACGCACATATCATTTATACATTTTTTTCCAAAGTGTTGTTTTAGTGACTAAAAATTCAAAGCTCTCACAAACTATGTGACGAAAGTATGAACACATAGATCAATATATGACAAATGAATCGCTTGTTAGTTGGATAAATTTTCTCATAGAATACACTTCCCTACAGTATTCTAAAATTATTAAATATAGAAACTTAGAATTGACCTATACATACAATACAATAAATACTAGAACTAATTGTTTTTAGTGATGATATTTCACATATAATACGGATTTTTCTCAATTCTACATTGAATTTTTATTTTATCAAATAATTCACAGATAATGGAAAAAAGCATTTTTATTAATATTCTGTGTTTTTCATTCGTGTTTTTATGTTTTTGTCTCAGGTATGAATTGATTTTTTTAAATTTTTGAGTAAGGTAATTTAAAAAAACAAAGAGGGAAGTGAACAGAATTTAAAATAAGATTTATCGATAACATTATTTAGTCAAAATATTGTATGATAATCATGTTATTAAAATAAATTTCCGGGTTTATCTTAAGAAGTTGTGACTGATGAAGTTTAACCATATCGGGTGTGAGGAAGGTACATGCTGAAAATAATGAAAGATGGTCGTCTAGTATTGTGGACTGATTAACTTTAGACTTTTAAATTGATGGATCCCAAATCAGTGGTCTGAAGGTTGAGTGTCCGGGTTTGGCACAGAAAGTTCTGGATTGGATTTACGGTTGCGAAATTGTGAATCCACACTAATGTGGTGTCCAATACTAGGATGGAACGGCCGTCCATCGCTCCTAACTATCTTATGGTTGTCTATATTAGGTTGATTTATGATGGCAATTAGAAACATTAATTTCTTTCTTTCAAATTCCTCTCTGATCTTTTAAATTAGTAGTTAAGTATATAAATTTCTGGGTAACACTTTTGAGGTTTAACTTGTTAATTTCAGATAAATTGAGCATTTATTACAATGAGTTGCGAAATGTCAGAAATTTATTTTCTACTTACCCGCATATTACGAATATACCATCACCTGGATAAATATGTTGTTTAAGAACTTAACTAAAATGAAAACATAATATCAATCCTTTCAATACTAAGCAAAATAATTTCATGTATTCTGACCTTTGATAAATCTAAATAAATCGAGAACAAGTAGATTCACAGATAATTTACGTGCTTGATAAGTCGACCTGTGACTTAATAATCCGGCACGAATTCTTCTGAATTGGTGGGATTTTGAAAGTTTGAATTCATTGTTAAAATGAACAAATTAAAAATTCATTTTTTACGAAACTTTTAATTAAAATAGTATTTTTATTCAATAGTAAAAATGAAACTTCATCTGTAATCACGTTATGTTGAACGAAATCTCAAAATTTACTGAAATTTTCATTACTTCACATACTACCGATGTCATCTTTTACAGAAAATTGTTTCCTTAAGTGTCATAAATTTCAGTTTCTTTTCTACATAAAAGATATATTTTCACAAAATTACTAATGAAAAAAACATATGAATCAGTTTTGTAATTATCTATCTTACTTGTCAGTAATATTTTCTGTTTCTTTAATTAACTTTCATGCTGAATTGAAAGCAAAAACTGAAGGAAATTGAAATTAAAAGTCATATGATATATCTTTTTTCACAAATGAAAAAACAAAAATGTTATACATCCTAATGAAATGGACATAGATGTTTTTGATGTAATTATCAACATAAAATTTCTGTGTATCCATCAATTGAAATATTAACTTTATTAATTGTGCTTTTTTCACCTATGTAGGGAATCACGTTCGTACCACCATGAGATCATATACTTTTAATGTGTATTGAATTTTTTCTTATTTTCATAACGCTTTTATTCATTTTTCAACGAGGGGGATGTGAAGACATGTAATCATCATTTGCGGATAGTTAAGATTATTCATATTAACTAAAAATGCATCTGAGAAAAGTCCAGCTTTAATTATCTTTTCTTATTCCTCTTTAATACTTATTAGTTGTTCAAACCTACTACTGTCACTTTGTAATGGACCTGTTTTCTGAATACTGAGACCACCTGATATGGCTTTTTGAATGAAGTTGTAAGGAAATGTGGATTTTAATGAAGTTTCAAAAGGCATCTACTGAAATATTTTCTAAAATGTTTGTCATTCAAACCACTACCCGTGACTCATAGACATTGCTTTGATTCGCTTTATCCTTTAAATATAGTACTTGATTCTTATCTAAGCAAAATATAAGTTACAGTTTTTCGGTAGTTTTAATTAAATAATGGATATTATGGATAGATATAATTGGTTATTTGTTGGAAGACTCAAATTTTTACATATCAATTAAATTTGTTTTCTTATTTAATAATGTAGCACGCTTATGGCATCTAGCATGCTATCAATTGCTTGTGTGATACCTATCTAGGTTGCATTCCAAAATGAATAGTAGTACATTCATTCAATATGTTTTTATGATATAAAGACATTTTCATAAAAAATCTAATGAACTTCATACTTCGTGTATTAAGAGTCATCTTCAAAATTACTTATTCTACAAAATATATATAATTAAGAAAAAATAATAATGATTTGTTTTTTACTTATCAATAATACATAATTTTATAACAGTTAATCAAAATATAATTTCCATTTAAACTGCACAATTAACATACAACCATGTATAACCTGGATGTCAACTGTGAATACTGTGTATTGATGACGCTTTAGAAATTTTTGTTGTTGTTCTCAAGATTTTATCTAGAAATATGAAGAGTAATCTAACTTGTTTCTTTGGGATATTTTACGATCACTAGTCATTTTTTAGCCATCAAATAATTATTATGTTTTTTACTGTTCTGTCATTTATCATTTATTTTCAGAAACTGAACATTTGCAAACAAAGAATGTTTTGTGTCATTTTTGTTTTTTATCAATGTTATTATTTATAAATCCATTAGCCGAATCTTCGTATTATGTTCTTTTAAATCTAATTATTAGTATTTGTTTATTTTTACTTATGCATTTTAGGATTGTGATGGCGACACACCCCTTCACGATGCTATTTCAAGTCAAAATACTACCCTTGTAGAATTGTTATTACGTCATAATCCTGACTTAACAATCCTTAATAATGCTGGTCAAAATTCCTTACATTGTGCCACTGTTCATGGTGGTACTGAGTAAGTCTTACCATCTTTGATAATGAAGTTTATTACTGATGGTTTTGTTCACTTCTATCGTTGTGTTGTAATGTTTACGAATAAGTAAAACCGAAAGCTTTTACCGTGATATATGATACCAAAACACCAATTTATTTATTTAAGGTAACTTTCACAAATTTTCTTTATCACAATAGTTTGATATTTGTCTCGAATTAAGGGTTTATGTTTTCATGCTGGTCATATTCAGGGCTGAATTTTAAGGACCTTTTGCAGGCTTATATGCCTGTCGGGCAAATACTTCAACACTGATCTTACTTCGAAGTTGGTTATGTATTTGACACTTCATAACTCTAGTCACCTTGCAGCTAATGACAAGAAAGAAGGATTCGTCCAGTGAGCCCATATGCCGACAGCTGCTAATTAAAATACATTCCCAAATATCTTGTAATAAGGAGAAACAAACTCTTGTTACTAATAATACAATTTATGGTTTATAAAATTACTTCACAGATTTTCACATGTAATATTATAAATCTTCCAAAATAGCTTTGATTTTTCTTTTTGTAGTCATGTATTAAAGAGCGAAGTTTGTGATTTGGGGTCTTTTAATTCATTGCAATAATTTATTTTTTATAAGTAGATTACTGTTTAATTGTTGTGCAATAATGATTGTTCATTTTCACGAAGACTGTTTAGTCAAGCTATTCACTTGATATTCTTATCAAGAGGTAGTTGTTCATTCACAAAGATAATGCAATCTTTTTTAATGAAGAAAACAAAATAGGCATGAATCGAATAGATTTGACAGTTGACAAAATGTTAAGTTTTCATTCTCCGATTTAGTCTATAGACAGTGGGAATTTTCTGTTTTACATGGTTACATTAAAATGTAGCAGATTTACCAATAAATCTAACAGTTAAATTAAGTTAATTATAATCAAAAATAGTTGTATATGCAGGAATTTTGGCAGTAAATGCAGTTGAATGTATACTAAATGCGCAAATATCCCCATAGATGTGTGACAAGTAGTCGTTACTTGTAGCCTAATCGTAATACCCTTAAGATATGCTGTAAGATTATAGTTTCCAAAAAAAGTTGCAACTTTCAGAACAAAAATAATTTAAGGTCTTAACTATATTTTCGTTGGTTTGTACATTACATATATTCGTGAAAACTGGTGAATTCTAATTAAACTATCTTGTTGCATCTATAATAAACAAATTTGTTAAATTAAATTTTTACAAAGTTTTACTGTTGTGGTCTTCTCTGTTATGTCAGTCTTTATTATGTTTGCTGAGTGCTTAACTGCCTTGTTCCTGGTACTGAAACTTTTAATTTCACGACATGTAGAGAAACACAAAGACTAGTGACATGGATTCATCTGGCCTCAAAAATAAATCATAATTATACATGAATAAACTCATTTATATGCTGATTTTACTCATACTTGAGCAATTCACAATTATCACATGTGGGGAAAATACAAGGAATTACTACAAAAACCCTAGTTACATGTCATACTGAATAAATTTAATACTTCATTAATTCAAAGAATACTGACCCAAATCAATATTACACTGAAAAAAATATCACACATAATAAAAAAACATATTACACTGAATAATCATGCCTTGAATTAAAACGGAAGTAATGTTGACAAAAGACATAATGAGCTAAAACATGATTTTACCGTTTCATCCTGTTATATCACATTCCTCTCTAGAAAATAGGTTTCACAGTATGTATTTTCAGCATATTGACCTTCAAGTTAAAAGAACTAAGACTACTAAATTGAACGAACCTTGTTTACTTGAATAGACACTCTTTGGGAAGTTTATCCTGAAGTTAGAACATGTCGGTCAGATGACTTGGTATTATTCTTTATCCTCACAGTTCTCGACACCCTAAAATCAACAGTGTAGTAACGTTCAAATAATTTATGATCTTTCATAAATTTCCCATATGAAAATTTGGTTGAATTTGATTTATTTCTTTTTGTTGATTCATTCATGGCACAAACAATTTGAGTTATTATCAAGATTAACTAACATCTTAGTTCCTTGTATAACTATTTCGACCTTAATTAATAGATAAATAATTCTGTGCAACTTAGAAATTGTAAAAATGATTAGAAACTGGTGTATAGGAATATTGTCACGATAACTGAAATACGTATATTCGTAAATAAATTTGGCTTTGATTTTATAGGATCTTCATGATTATGATTAATATATTTGATAATAGCATTCTTAAAACAAATATTTCTTTGTGCAAAACAACCACTTGTCAATGTTTATAAACAGTATGACTTTCTATTGAAATATTACTTATTTGTCTGACTTATCGTGATTATCTACCCTGAGTGATCGATCGTGACGGCAGACTGATACAAAAATTACGTTATTTCAAAAATTATAATACATTCAATCTATCCTAGTTGATTTGTCCAAACAAAATATTGAGAGCCAGTTAGGTCAAATCCGTACATGACGAAGAGAACCTATTAACAACAAAAAAAGTTAATCTACGTTTGAATATCTGAAAATCTAGAACTCGGACTCAATAAACTTTATATGTGTACGAAAAACGATTCCCTTGTACCAAAAGACAGAACTATGAATAAAAGAATTCTTCTCGGTAAATCTTAGATATTGTCGTTATAACTTACTATGTGGTTTTATTACATCAAGGTAGTTAATTTAATATTTACAAATACTAATAGATTTATTTCACTCAAAATCTTAAATTCCAATCCCGTAAACATCACCATCTGATTTTAATTATTAGTCTTTTATTCATGGTTGCAGAAATTGCAGTGAATTTATTAGAACGTACATATCAATGCTGGGAAACAATCTGTTTTGATTATCACTGTATTGAGTAAATTGTGCAAATATACATCTGATCAAACTTTTCGTTCCATTTTTTTATTAAATAAATACAATTAACGTTTCTTTTTATTTTACAGAATCCTCTACACACATTCAACTAAAGGTCTTTTTGTTTCGACTTATTTCATTCACTATTTTTTAAAATTTTTTTTATAAATGATGAATGTGCAAAGTTGTTGGGCTCTATTTGTTTTGTTTTCACAACTATGTTGATTAATTAAGTTTAGTCCCTTTATTCTACACCATATGTTTAAGTTGTTTGTTATGAAACGTTACTATGTTATTAAAGCATTCAGAAAACATAAAATATTAAAATAAATAGTTTTGTATTATTGTAAGTTATCATTTTATTCATTTATCTTTGAAGAAATAAATATTCACTGAATCCACAGTTGTTGGCTATTCAAACGATTTAAAACAGTTTGTTTTTAATTAGAGGATGGTAACATCATTATTAAGCTCAAAATGCATTTATTGTGCAAAATTTAATTCAATGTTAAATTAATTATATTTCGGAATAATGATTGTTATATCGGAAAGTTTTCTTTTTGAAATGGTTAACAAATAAAACATATCAGTAGTTACTACGTAATAACTTAAATGGATGTTGTGATTTCCATAACTTGTTTAAAGGCCTTCCTGAAGAATTTATTTACTTTAAAAGTCATAATCAAGTAAAATCAAGTAAGTCCCAGTCGGTTGAGTTCTAAAGTATAAACCATTAAAAAGCAGCCTGGTTATTTAATGGTGCTATGTTCACAGCTAAAACTAGTAGTAACAGGACAAATACTTTATAGAAGCATTTGTATAAGGTGCGAGAATAAGCCCCTCATATCTTCAGTCTTAAAATATGTCTTCAAATTGTGATGAAAAAATTATATCTGAGTCATTATTTTCTTGATTCTTATGTACTGATTGTTTGGTTCTTCCCACTGATGTTTAGGACTGCAAGTGACCAGTGTCTTGTTGGATTATGAAGATCTTGTGGTTTGAACTCAATACTGTTCTCTCCAAACGCTATCGCGTTATCTACTTAGCTACTCAGTTCATATAACCACTGACTTGTCCAATAGGGTAAAATTTTATGCGTTATTTTATTGGTTACTTGAATCTTCCTATTGATGTTTAGGATAACGCAGTAGCATTTGAAGAGAACAGTACTGAATTTGGGTCCCGGAGTGAACATCAATTCTGTGACGCAGGTACATCCATCTGACGAGTTCCATATAAAACAACGCTCTTACCGATGTCCAATACTAGCCAACATCCATCTCACATACTTTTATTATAAAAATGAGTAAATGAAATGAAATAATTCCAAAATTTCGTAAAATTTCAGTATACTATCAATCATAATGATATTAAAAGTAAATACTTCAGATAGTAATAAAGTTTCCTCTACTTTTTTTCTAGAATGATTGAAAATTTTTCTTTAATTAATAGATTCTCCATATATTATACTGCGTAAATATGTGTATATGTTTATGTTCTAAGACATATTTACCAAGTGGCTACTCTAAATTATGCAAATTAAAGGGAGTAAATTTCGTTCTTTTTATTTCTCTAAAAATATTTTATGTAATTGCATTGTTATCTGTTTTGTATCACGCTATAAACTTCCGTTGTCTGAGATATTTTACTTGTCCTCGATTTAATATTTTCTTTACTTCTTATCGATCGTTGGCTGAAGATATACGGATTCGAATAAATTTATGAGATTATAGACGAATAAAAATCATTTACAAATAAATGAATATTTGTGTTTTATTTATTTATTTTCTATTTGTTTAGTTTTATTAGTTTTTTTAATCCGTGAATACTATGTATATGGATAGACTGGATAGATTAGTAAGATATGAAACAAATACGTTTATTTGATTTGTTATTTATGATATAATTAGTTATTAGTTAGGGTTTATATGATTGTTCACTAAATCTGATCATTTTCATTCAAGTGATTTCTACTAACATTCACTTTATGCCTAATAAAGAACAAGTGTTATTTTATAAATGGTTAATTATTAGTTATTTGAATGATAAAATACTTGATCAGGTTAATCAAATTCTGAATTTTGAACATTAGTAATCTTAATTTAATGGATCTTCGAAAGATCATAAAAGGCTTT